TTGTATGTATTTCTCCCTGTCCCACCCACTTCCAGCCACTGCAAAAAAGATATATCTGTCTCTTACTTCAGGGTACCTTCTGATTATGCAGAATAATCGTAATTTCCCCTTGCTCTTTAGTCTCTGTACTAATCAGGATTCTCCAAAGAAATCTATATCTATATCTATATCTATATCTATCTATATCTATCTATCTATCTATCTATCTATCTATCTATCTATCTATCTATACATACATGTGTAGAGAAATAACCATGCACATACAATATGCAAAAATTTCCACAATATAATTCAAAGACCTATAATTTAAAATTACTTATTTATTTATGAGTTTGCTGTCAGTACAGATCAACTCAACCCAATAGACGAATTATCTTTATTCTACCTTATAAATACTCTATCAGTAAGTTAAGAGCCTTGGTAAATCTTAACATAATAAATAACACACCTACTGTTAATGTTACAAGCAACCTCAGAAGTTCAAATTACTATATATCACTAAACTCAAATTTTCTTGACTCAAAGATCAAATGGATGAGAGTTATTGATCCAGGAGTAAGTAAAACGTTATTTGTTTTCTTATTAAGAAAAACCGACTGAGGAGATCATTAGGTACTCTTGCAATTTATTTTTTGCAGGAAGCAACCAAGCTAATAATCTCTTGTAAAGTGCAGGATATTGATGGGTCTATTGTAAAACAGAACCTTCTTACGCTGGAAGAGCTTTCGATTAGACCAAGACACAGCTTTTGATTAAACAAGACACAGATGGGACAAGACATTACTTCAGTTATCCATTATATATTTTAGAAATCTGAAGTACCAATTAGACTTCTTGTCAATATTGACAAGATTGAAAATTATATTTATTTTATCTGCAATTATTTTAAGCAGTGATTCCTAAGACATAAAAACTCAATGCTGAATACAAATTTTAAAGACTTCTTTTTACCTGTAATGGTTATTTTTGCTGACCACTTAGATGTCCCATCCAATACACTCTGTTTGGCTGCCTTTGTGTACTGAACAAAATCCTCTTTAGAAATCTGAAACATTTCTTGAATTACTTCAAACACCTCTGGCCTATTTTTTTCCCTGATCTTCATTCTCTCTTTCATAGCGGAAATAATTGTCTGAGTCCTGTCTTCCGCACCATGCTTAGAACTCTTCTCCGCTGCTCCTAAAATGGAAAAATCAATGGTGGTGTAAGTGTACGTCTGGTTACTTTTAGATGGCCCAAGAAAGGGAGGAAAAGGAGGAGGAACATGAGAATGAATGAATGCTTTTATGCTGAGGAATCAGAGTGGCTTTTTTGAAAAATAGGAGTACAAGTCAGAATGCTGAGACTCAGGACTCGTGTTTTTGGCAAGTGAATGCACCTCAATGAGCCCTAGCTTTCTCACTTGTATTATTGGACTAAATCAGGGGTTGTGCAAATATTTGGTTTGTGTTTTCAAAAACAAATTTGCAAAACCCCCAAAAGAATGAACATAATCAAATGTATTATATACTGCATGCATCTACTAAATGGACAACCAAATCAAATTAGGAAATATATATGGCAAATGTCACTCAAAATCAATATCTCAAATGCTTGTTTCCATCCAAAGTGCCTAATATTTTTGTTGATGGACTTTATCATAATTAAATGATTAATTTTTCTTATAAATTAAAAGCCACCACTATTTGTTGTATTTTGAAATACAGAATAAGATTATACTTGAAATGAAAGTGATTCTGCTTTTTGAAAAAGATTTGAAAAGCATTGGGCTAGAAAACCTCTGAAGTATCGAAGAGACCATAGACTTGACTTATTATTCTATAATAAGGCCATGTTTTTGAACAGACTGAATTCTCACTTTCCACTCAAAACTCTTTTTTTTTTCTAGGACATTGTGGGGTTTTTTTAATGATTGATCTCAAATTTCTGGGCTTTTTTTTTTTTTTTTTTTCGTTTTTAACACAAATCCTTCTGGCAGTGAAGTATTTCCAATAGTTCATTCTTGGATCCCTCACCTTTTCCAATTACCAGACAGATATTCTCTGTGCTTTGTCTAGCCTCTGGGTTGCTCAGTATTACAGAACAAGTAACTAGTGAACCATGATTTCAACTCTCATAGTTTTTTAGTGAGTTTGAAGTGAGAGAGCAAAAGCCCATCTATAGGAACTGCCACTGCTGAAAACAAATATTTTTTTTGGCACAGAAGCAATTAAGATGTAGTGAAAAGAATAAGAAACTTGTGTTCATAGCTAGTAATTGCTCCAATATTCCTCTACCTGACTAAGGATTCCCAACGTGTATTAGATTTTTTGAAATATTATATTTCTGAAAATATGTATACTCATCAAGTATTTCATAAAATGTTAAGATTAAATGGGATAAATTATCTGCACAATTCCTTCTAAAAGGATAGCCTTAGTAAGCTTTTTTCAATCGAATTCTGTAAATCTTAAGCCAATTTAAGTATAGAAGCTAAAAGAGAAAAGGTCAACTACTAACTTTCCTTTTTATAAATTCATATACAATTTGACAGAGGTCATTTAGTGAAAATCTTTATTAATTTGAAAGCATAACATTTATTCACTGAAGTGGAAAAATTTATTAATAATAATCAAGTTGTAATTAGAGACAGTTAAAAGAGAGGTGCATTGTACTAGTAGAAACAACAGATTCCCAGTCATTATCTTAAATAATAGTATTATAAAAGCACACCAAAGAACCTTTGAGGACAAGTCACATTTTTTTAAAAAAGGACTATAAATTATTGCCTTCCATTTAAAGTAATTTGCCATTCTAAATGCTCTAGTCCTCTGTTAAAACATGCCCTAGAACAGCTACACATTTGTACATTATGTACCATTAAGCAATTAAGCATTTTTATAATTTATCAATAACTGTGGACTAAAAGGGGCCACATACCAAACCTGACAGGCTCAGGGAAGGCCTGCATGGCTGCTTTACAAACTCAGAGACCTAAAGTAACCAAATAGGATGGTCTGAAATTAACACTCTTTTAAAAGCAATTCATGGCAGTAGTCATGTCCTAAGGCAGTATTTTTCCCTAACCAAAGTCAGTCTTAACTGATCTAGTCTGTCCTGTTTTTGCATCTAGGATAACACACCCGAAAAACATGTCTTTGTACCAACAAAGTAATTTCCCCTTAAAGCACAATCACTGTACCAGAGCACAGAACACAAATCCCCGCATTCTTACTGTTACTGTGTTAATTGTTAACTGTTAACTTTCCTGCACCCCCGCCCCCCGTGTAAAATAAATGTGTCTATCATTTTACTTTTTATCCAATCCCAGAGGTTTCCTCCTGTCCCTCACTTTACTTTCTCCTGCCTCCCTCATCTATCACCAATAGATTTCATGTAACCTACCTATGCCTCCTCTTTTGATTTTAATGCATAACATACGATGCACAAGTGTCATTTTCTGGAGCATTTTCTCAGTCCCGCGAGGTTTTGCTTCCTGGCAATTATCATGAGTTTGCCTCAAATAAATTCATAAAAATTCTTACAGGTTTGGATGTTGCTTACGTTGGCATAACTTCACAGCACATAATTCTTACACAGCAAAATTAATGTAGGCTAGACTAAACACCAGTTGCAATGGTCACCACTGCAACTACCTAGTTAATATTAATAATAGAAAGAGAGCAAAGGAAAGGGCAGCCATTGTAAACATAGTCCTCTGGGCAGCGTCACCAGGAAGCTGTAGTTTTACACACCCCCTGGGGAACCACAGGTCTATTCCCTGTAAATCACTTGGGATAGGGGTCCAACACAGGGGAAGATGGGCACGTGTGCAGTGAAGTCAAGGTGACATATGACAGGTGCGTGTCAGTCAGTGAAAGCTGGGAGAAGGACAACTGACTAGCAGCGATGGCGAACCTTTTGAGCTCAGCGTGTCAGCATTTTGAAAAACCCTAACTTGACTCTGGTGCCGTGACACATATAGACATTTTTTTGATCTTTGCAACCATAGTAAAACAAAGACTTACATTTTTGATATTTATTTTATATATTTAAATGCCATTTAACAAAGAAAAAATAACCAAAAAATGAGTTCGCGTGTCACCTCTGACATGCGTGTCATAGGTTTGCCATCACTGGACTAGGAGCGTGGAGCCACTGCAAGCACACACAATCCTGAAGGGTTGTTTGGTTCGGCCCCCAGTTTTAATCCCCAAGAATTGTGTTTCTCTTGTTCGTTTGCTCTTGCTCTTCTGCTTCTCACTGGCTCTGTAAGCCACACTTGCCCATGCATGCCCCAGCCATGTGGACCCCACGTGCGATGGACCGCAGCTGGGAACAGGGGCTAAGCTGCCAGGTGCTGGCTGGGCTGTGCGGCAACATGGAGCGGAAACTCTGGGCAGTGGCTTGAACCCTTGCCCTGTGAAGACACCGCTGGACTTTTTCCGCGGGGAGACAAAGAGAGATGGGACCTTGGAGGGGAACCCTCTTAATTTTACACCAATAAAGCTTTCCATGGTACTTCATCCTCCGATGAGGCCTCAGGAAATTATTTTCCCCATGGCACGCCAAGAGCTCCACTTTTACCAGAACAGGTGGGGACAGAGAGGGCACCCCACCAATAACAGGATTATTTGATGAGCAGACTTTATAAGAACTGGAATAGTTATTAAATAGAAAGAACAGTGATGGCTTGAAAAGTTACCTACAAGATTAAAAGTGTCCCAAATGTTTGGTTTGCAAAGGCCATCCTAAGAATGTTCAAAGAGAAGTATCATAAAAATGTTGACTCCCTCCAGTACGCTGAGCAACTATTATCTTTGTGATAATGAGTGTTTCCCACCAGCTCCAGGAAAAAGTATTAAAGTCTCCAAGAGACAATATATTAAATATATTTTGGAAGTGTTTTTTCTTCTTCTAAATTTAGGAAGAGCCCGTTGACCACCACCACATAATAAATGCTCTTTCAAGTCAACACTATTAAATTCAAGGCTGGAATGTCCAGAGATGTTTCATTTAAAGAAATCAAATCTCTGTATTTTACAATTGCTCCTTGAATTCTTTTAAAGAATTAATTCGAAAAGCATCACATTCACAAATACTCTTGATGTTGGAGTAGAAAATCTCTAACTTGTACAGACAATAGACCCACAACTTGTGAAAATGCCAGGCTAAGAGAACAAGTTAGCAGAGACTTATATTTAAGCCTTTTATCTGTTATTTCTAGGAAATATACCAGGTGTCCCACCAAAATGTATACACACCTTAACAGCTGATAGCTCAATTTTGAAAATAAAATGTATTTTAATAAAAACTCCCTTTATAATTACCCAAAGTGTATGTATACAGTTTTGGAGGACATCCTATATATATAACTTTTTAGAAGTTCTACTTTTATATTTTTGATCTGAAGAAAATAATTCAACTTTGATTTGTTTAGTTCAGAGATACAGAGACAATTCATAATTAAGTTTTGTCACTAACCTATAAATACTTTTTATTGCCCTATTGCGTAAACCCACATATATTGTCTTAAAACACACACACACTATTTCTTAAATAGGTACAAATTGTCCTGAATGTTTGTCTCAAAGTCATCAGAGACAACCTTACATTTGCATTTATATGAGTCTTCCTTCCAAGTGTCTAATACCTAATTGAAATATAGTAATATGTCAACCAGAGATAAAAAAGAAATCAAATAAAAAGAGATAATGTACAGTAAAAGCACTTTGTAAAGTATAATACATTGTACAAATGTAATGCATCATTGTTATTTTTAAAACAATTAATTGACATATCAGTCAATACAATTATGAACAGCAAAACTGCAAAAGAATTTGACCTTAAACAGAGGCAAACTTATCCCACACAATTCTCTTCTACATAATTTAATGAGACAGCCAATTTTTATTTATTACCCAAAATATAAATCTCATGTGAAATTCACAATTTCACCACCTTTATATGGCAGTTTACAATTTTAGTGCATCTTCCAAATAATTATCTATCTATAAGTACCAACTGCAATATTCTCCTTGGACTCAGTCTCTTCTCGCCTACTTTCCTCAACAGCTGTTCCAAACACTTCAGCTCTCTCCACCTATCTCACCCCCTTACCCTCCAATCTCAGCAAATGATCTTATATTTTCCTTAACAGATGAAGAGGCTTTCTAAACGCAGTGGTCACATCTACTCCT